CAAAAAAAAAAAAAGAAAGAAAGAAAAGAAATCTAGGTCAAGCTTCTTTACACTGCTGGATCCCAAGAGGTTGGAAGCTATAAGCTTAAGTCCTCGGCTTGAAAACTCCAGTTTATGACTTCTGTCACATTCTGTTGGACAGAGCAAGTCACAGATTGGCCAGATTCAAGAGGAGACATAGACCCCCCATTTGATGAAAGCAGTGGCATGCACATACAGAGACGGGAGGAATCGTTGGCGGCCATCTTTAGAAAAATCTCCCACAGAGACCATTTGAGGCTGAAATAACAGGACCTTTGCTTCCAGCAATAAGCAGGACTAAGTAACATGGAAAACCCTTCCCTTACAAAACCCCTACAGACTCTTCACATAGCAGACAACCTTCCTTTCAGAGCTGTGCACCCGGGAAAATAAGGAATCTCTCCAGGTACAAAAGCGAAGACTCTAGCTTCTGGAATGTGAAGTCAACAGTGGAGCTACGCTACTCCGATGTTATTTGTTGATCACAAGGACTTAAATGCCAGATTTCAAAGGCTGACGAGGGAACAGGGGACAAGGCTATCAGCCTACATGAGGCGGAGTGTGGGAACTTAGAGCCATCACCACATTCCCTTCGTGCTGTCTCCTGTGATCGCCTACCAAATAAACTACTTGCACCTGAATCCTTGTCCCAAGGTCTGCTTCTGGGAGAACCCACTCTACAACAGTTGGTACCAGAATGGGGCCTATGAAATAGATCCTCAGAATTTGACTCCGACAGTGGAAGGCTCACCAGCCAGATGGCAACAAAGGCCTAGCTGCTGTTGGAAACTGGGATGGTGTGGTGGATTAAATATGACAGCAAATTATTTGACGCTCTTCCCTTCAAGAGGTGGGGTCTGTGCCCCTCCTGAATCTGAGTGGCCTCTGTTACTGCTTTGACCGGACATGACCCAGCCAGCCTCTGGGCCCAGACTTTGAGAGATTGGCAGCTTCCCCATTTCCTGCACCTGGAGCGCACTTTGGGGGCCTTAAGCCACTATATAAGAAGACCGACTACTGAGACCACATACTGGGAAAGCCATGGGTAGGCGCTCTTGTTGACAGTCCCACATGAACCCAGCCTTCCAGCCATCCCTGCTAAGGTGCCAGACATGTGAGTAAAGCTGACTTGGACCCTTCAGACCAGCCCATATGCCGGCTGAATACCACTGAGCGCCCTGAGTCAATGCCACATGGAGAAAAGGCATCACTTAGCTGGGCCCTGCCCGAATTCCTCGCCCATAAAATCATGAGATATAATAAAATGGCTACTATTTTGAGCAATTAAGTTCTGGGGTAGTTTGTTACATAGCAACAGCTAGCTGGACCGTGTGCTGATAACACCTGTGCTGAGTCCTCACCATTCCTCAGACTCATCTGTTCTGCACTGTGATGGCGCGCAGTGGGGAGGGGGCGCCCAGGCTTAGGCAATCTCTCTAACAGGTGAGATACAGGGGGCAACTGTAATTTATAAGGAAAGTGAAGTTGATTGATTGTTGTTAAGTGGCGTCCATGTGCTGACGGAAGAAAATAACAGGCTCAGGACAGCCGTTTATCAACTCTCGGCCCGGTGTCCAAGCCAGGAGCCCTCCACGGCAGTGTGTAAAGACTCTCGTCTACCGCAGCTGGAGGGCGGACTGTGCTGGTGAAGGCCCAGAACCTGCTTGAGGACAGTGGTGTTCCATGGCAGGCCAAAAAGACAGCTCTGTAAGGCCTGTGCTCAAGTCAAGGTCACAAAAGGGAAGGAGCGGGATACTGACAGCTAGCATGGGGACATCCGAGTAGATGGGCTTGAGAATCTTGAACCCCAGATTCCCCTCTGAGCCAGCAGAAGTGGCCCATTCCTCCTTGCTCGAGAATAGCAGCCTCTTGCCTGGAGACCACGCAAAGAACTCCCTGTGATGGTTAATTCCGTGTGTCAACTTGACTGGGCTAAGGGATACTCAGAGAGCTGGCAAAACGTGATTTCCTGAGTGTGTCTCTGAGGGTGTGTCCAGAGGAGATGAACGTTTGAACTGGGAGACAGTGAAAGTTCGCCCTCACCAACGTGGGCGGGCGCGATCATCCAGTCTGTTGAAGACCCAAAGACAACAAAAAGGCGGAGGAAGGGTGTTGCTGTCTCTGTCCGAGCCGGGACATCCATCTTCTGCCCTCAGATGTCGATGCTCCTGGGTCTCAGGCCTTCACACTCGGACTGAATTAGACCACCAGCTTTCCTGGGTCTCCAGTCTGCACACAGCACGTTGTGGGGTTTCTTGGCCTCCATAATCACGTAATTCCTATAATAACTCTCCTCTTACATATATATCTATATCCTGTTGGTTCTGTTTCTCTGGAGAACCTTAAGACACCCCTAAGGTGAAGCCATGCTTTCCTTCCTCAAGATCCACCTCCAATTTCCCTCTTTGCTTCTAAACCAGTAACTAGGATCCAGTCTCGCTGAGGCCCGACTGGGGAAGTCCCGTCCCAACTGTGGAAGAACAGAGATGATTCACTGCACTAGCTGCAGGAGCTGGCCCAGGTGTGCCAGCCAGAACTAAGAGAACATGCCCGGGCCCACGCAGCAGCTAGGTGCGCACTTTCTGCTTCCGCGGCCCGGGGTTCATTGGTTCGGATCCCGGGTGCGGACATGGCACCGCTTGGCAAGCCATGCTGTGGCAGGCGTCCCACATAGAAAGTAGAGGAAGATGGGCACGGATGTTAGCTCAGGGCCAGTCTTCCTCAGCAAAAAGAGGGGGATTGGCAGCAGTTAGCTCAGGGCTGATCTTCCTAGAAGAAAAAAAAAGAAGAAGAACATGCCCGAGGAGCATCTTGAGGGGGCTGGAGTGGAAGGAGTAGAACACTTGGTGGGGGGCAGAGTGACGTGGGACGACCCTCCTGTGACTCGGCATGTGAGGTTCTAGGAAGGGCACCTGGAGCCAGTCCTGATGGGTCACTGAGATGGCTCCCTGAAATGTGGAAGAAATGGTGGCCTCCGGTAAATAAGAGGGAGTAACCGAATGGTCTTGGCAGGGTATTGAGAAGTGGCCAACAGGCTCAGAGAGGTGGCCGCACAGAGTTCTTATGTGAGACCAGAGGACCCAGCTGACTGTGCTCCCGGAGGGCCCACTGGAGGCTATCTTCCCTCAAGCAATGATGAGACACTAGTGAGGGGCACTGGTGTCACGGGGCACCTGAGTGCTCTGAGCACAGGGTTGAAGAGGGTGAACACTGCCCTGGAGCTGGCTCCCAGGGGTCCTGAGCGATGGAAGGAGTCCAGAGAGCAGAGGTCCAGGTGATGTAAGTACCAGAACAGGAGCAGGGCAGAGTGGAGCTGGGCAGCGTGGGCCTGCAGGGTCTGTGCTGACGGCTAGCAGACCACGGTTATTCCCAGGGACCATGGCAACCAGGAGATTGCTTGGCTCTTAGAATCAAAGAAAGATGGAAAACAAGTGCACGGGAGGCGAATGCCAGCTGCTAGTGGAGAAATCTCAATCCCTCACCCAGTTTCCAGGCCTAAGTCAGTCCTCAGACCTGGAGGTCACCGCCTGAAAGGGAGGCTGGGTGCCCTTGAGAAGAGCCCTGTAACGCCACAGCAAACACCTGCGGTCGTAATTCCCCAGGCCTTCCCCAAAGGGACCTATAGTCATTTCCAAGAAGTAACCATACACCGAGAAAGGAGGGTCCTGGCTATTTCAAGGGCAGCTGGGTACATGCTGAGTGGGCCTCTGGTCGCCAGACAAACGGAATCTTTGAACTTCTCTCCTCTGTCTCACTCACTCCCGGGAGACTGCATCCTCTCTCACAGCTTTAGCAACACATACTCATCGCCAGCTCCCACGTGTCCATCCCCAGGCCGGACCTCTCCTCTGATCTCCAGTCTCCTATCTTCCTGCCCACCAACATCTCCCCCGGGGTGTCTAATGGGCATCTCAGTGGGGGCCACAGTGAGCTCCCCATCTGTCCACCCTTTCCTGCGCCCCCCCTGCAAGTCTTCCCATCTAAGTAAATGACAACACCACCCTTCCAAGTGCTCAGACCATGGATTTCTCTTTTTCTCTCAACTGCACAGCCAACCCGCCAGCAGATCCTATTGGAATTCTTCAAAACATACCCAGAATCCCACCACCTCTTATCACCTCCACTGCTCCTTCCCTGGGGACCAAGCCCTCCTCTTCTCTCGGGATTATTGCAATGCTGTCCTAAATGATCCCGTCACTGCCCTTGTCCTCCCACCGTCTAATTGCAGGACAGCAGCCAGAGTGATACTGTTCACACGGCACTCCTCTCTGCTCAAAATCCCACAGTGGCCCCTCACACTCAGGGCAAGAAAGGACTTCTGGGGGGTCTACCGGGTCCCATAGGATGGGCCAAGCCTCCTCCCCGTCACTGATTCTCCCTCTGCTCACTGTGCTCCAGCCACACGGTCTCCTTGCTGTTTCTCTACCACACCAGGTAGGCTCCAGCCTCAGGGCCTTTGCTCTTGCTGTTCCCTCTGCCCAAGATGCTCTTCTCTCAGCCACCTGAACCTCCTTCAAGTATTTGTTCAAATGTCACTCCAACGAGGCCTTCACCTTATTTAAAATTGCAACACCTCCCCTCAACACACGCCTCGTCCTCCTTCAGTTTTCTCTGCAGGATTTGGCACTGATACATATGCTTTCCATTGTGCTTCGTTTTGAGTGTGTTTCTTTCCCTCATTAAAATAGAAACTCCAGGAAGGCTGGATTTTATTTCACCTCTCTTTCTAGCGTTTAGGCCAGAGCGTTCAGGGCTCTTTGTGGAATGGATGGCTGAACGGATGAAGGAACGCATGAACGGAGAGTTGAGGGCGCTCCCGTGAACCGCCCCGTCCACGCCGACCTTTACTCCCACACTGGTGCGCGGACTTCATCCCGAGCGGATGAAGGTTGAGCCCCGGGGTGACGGGGCCGGGAAGGCGGGCTGGGAACCGGCAGGGCGGGGCCCACGCGACGTCGTCGTCATGGAAACGCGCGCGCTCCCAGCGGCCCCCGCGGCTTCCGGTCGGCAAGATGGTGGCGCGCAGGGGGCGGCGTTCGGCGCGGGGCTCGGACGAGGGGATCCCGAGCCCGCCGGGCTACTCAGGTGGGGCTGCGGGCCCGGGGGGCCGGGGCGACTCGGGGGCGGCGGCCAGGGGCCCCATCAGCGGCCGCGCGGTTGGGCGTGGGCCCGGCAGGTCCTCGAGGCCCGGCGGCGCCCTGCTCCCCTCTGGCCACCCTCTCCCTGGCCGAGCCCATTGGGGGCCACGCTTCCCTGGGGTGACCCCCCGCTGTCCACACTGTCTCGCGGGGCGAACCGGGGCTGTCTGCCCCCTCCCCCAGGGGAGCCCGTCCGCTTCTCGTCCGCCCTTGCTGTTCCCAGGTCGGCCCCTCAGCCCGCGCCGCGCCGGGCCTCTTAGTGGCTTCCTCATAGGTTCTGCCGCTTCTCCTCCTGCCCCAGGTGCCAGAATCTTCTTTCTAAAGTCAGATTTAAGTCCGATCTTGCCTCATAGGCCCTATACCTATACCCCCAAACCCACTGAACTCTCTTCAGTGGCCAAAGTTCGCACCTAAAACAAAACCCAAACTTCTTACCCTTGACCCGCGTGGCCGCACGTGTTCGGGCTGGTGATCACCGAGGGTTCCGTGTCCTGTTCCTCTGAGCAGCGGGCTCTTTACACCTTCCTGAATTTGGCGCTTGCTGGGCCCTCTTCCTCGGAGTTCCACAAGCAGCTTTGCCCTCGCCGTTGCACCGCTGCCCTCACTCAGGTCTGAGCTTTAAAGTTACTTTCTCAAAGAGGTCGCCCCGATGCCCGCCTAAAGGCTCGGCCCCCCGTCTCCCCGCACTACTTCACCCTGTGTGTTTCCTTCATATTTGATGGAATCTGGCCACATGCTTAGCTGTTCAGTGTCTCCCCCCACTGAGCTTCCTGAGGGCGGGATGGCAACTGTGTCCTCACTGTGCTCAGAAGAAGGTGGTGAGGAAAACAGGAGGCATCCCCGAGCTTTCTGAGGGTTAACGCTGATGGGAATGCCAGCGACCATCCATACAGTCACACAGAGACTTAGACGCGGTGAGGAGTTTGGTGTTTTCCCCGAGAGCCCAGAGTGTGAACTTCCCTCTCACTTCGCTTCCCACTTGCAATAATTGCTCGATGTGCTCACTCTTCCCCACAGCTTGGGAGCCCCTCCCGGGCAGATGATGTGTTCCTTCCCTCTCAGCCTGCACAGCATCCTGCACAGGCCTCTCCTAGGGGAGGGGCTCAGGGAAGGATGCTGATGGATGGACAGATACACGGGACTACAAAGGGACAGCCGAGCCTGACTTTCCTGCCATCCCTCTCCGCCCGTTTCCCTTCCAGCCATTCCAGTCAAGTTCTCCGGAAAGCAGCAGGCGTCTCATTATCTCTATGTGAGAGAGCACAGAGTTCGAGAAGGCACCAAGTCCTCCTGGCCTCAGAAGCGGACCCTTTTTGTCCTCAATGTGCCCCCATACTGCACAGAGGTAAGCGGGTGTGTGGGAGGAGACCGTGGGCTCAGGCAGGGCCTCCAGGCAGAGCTGAGCTCCCACTGGCCCCACCGGGCCCTGGGGGGCGTTGGAAACTGTGCGCAAAAGCCTGGAGGGAGGGTGTCTCGAGGGCTTCTTGTCTCTCTTCTGACAGGAAATCGGTTTTTAAAGATGCGTTTTAAAAAATAGACTCCTGAGGAGCCCAGAGCTTTTTATGTATCACCCAGCATTGTTTTGAATTACAGGGTGGTTCTCCCTCGTTTTACTATGGACATTGATACATGTCCATAGTGAAAAATAGCAAAAGTATAAGAAAGAAATTACCTCCAAATCTATTATCCCAACATGTCTGTTAATTTTTTTTTTCACAAAAACTAGTATTATGTTAATTTCCAGAAGAGAAACTAAGGGAATTTCTGAGTCTTTGATGAATTTTTTATCAAAAAAAGAAATATTCATTTCTGAAGGTTTCTCTGCAGTTAGAAGCAGTAGGAGGACAGGGTGTCACTGTTCAGCTTCACTGAGGAGCAGCGGGCACAGAGGGGCCGGCCGAGGTGCCAGCTCGCTGCAGGTCGCTAACCGCACGGCTCTGTGTAGGCAGCATCCACGTGGAGAAGCAGCGTTGCCGGCACCCCAGAAATGCCCCATGCCCCGCCCCCACCAGGGACAGCCACCACCCTGAGTCCCACAGGCAAGATTGAACTCTGTTCTTCAATGGCTGATTCAGGCAGTAAAACTTAGTTGATTGTCTCATAAAATCAGAATACTCAGAATAACACCAAAAATGTCCCCACTTATTCTTGTAATAATTAAAAAAGAAACAAAAGTTGAGAACCCAGTCCTGGGGTAGGGATCGTCCCCCCAGAGGGATTGCTAGGGAAAGGCTGATCCTTCAGAGCGGGCACATCCTCTCAGGAACACAGAGCACGTCCTGGGCGCGTGCTTCCAGCGGGCCCTGTCCTAAAGCCAAACAGCTTATCCCTGAGTCCCACCTTGCAGGCCATTCCCTCCCTCCCGAGACCCCGGCTAGTGGAGGGGTGGCTTTTTACCCACAGTTTCTATCATGAAGATTCACGAGATCGTTGTTTAGGGCCGCGGGAGGGCAGGAAAGTTGACCTCCGTGTTGCGGAGGACGTGGCTCCCAGGCCCTCCCTGCGGGGCCCCAGGTTGGGCAGGATGGGCTCTGAGTCCTTCAAGTCCCCTGGCAGTGCCGCTGGGGTGGAGGGACACTCAGGCTCATGCGGTGCTTCCTGGGCCGTGGCAGGAGTGCCTGTCCCGCCTCCTGTCCCCCTGTGGCCCTGTCCGTTCTGTGGAGTTACAGGAGAAGCCAGACCTCGCTGAGAGCCCAAAGGAGCCCCAGTCCAAGTTTTTTCAGCCCAAGCCCATTCCGGTAAGCCTCCGAGCACCCGGGTCTGCGGGAATGGGGCCTGGGGGGTGAGGGCCAGGGTGTGAGGGGGAATGGGGCGGCAGCGGGTGGCAGTGGGACTTTCTCAGCACTCCCCGGGGTCCTAGGCCAGTCCTCACTGTGGGGGTCTGGGAGGGCTGTCAGGTCAACAGTCTCCACTCCTTTCCCCGGCTTTGCCACATTCTTTAGCTCCCTGTCTGGCTCTTCCCGCTGTCCTGGGTGAAAGCTCAGAGACCATCTCTGCAGGCGCCCTGCGCTCCCGCCTGCTTCTCCTGCCAAAGTCGATTCTTCCTCAGGCTCAGTGGCCGGGGTCTTGTTTCCCTGTGGCCCGTGAGCCCACACCTCCTGGCATAGGGGAGTGTGAACTAGTGTGCGCCCAGTGTCTGTCCATTCCTGGCCCAGAGGGAGCACGCTTTCCACTGAGTCCGTCCCATAACTGGAGACAGGCCTGGTGTCGCCCCTCTCCCTGGGGAAGAGATAGGCATGGGTCCCTTCCAGCAGAAGCTGGAGACCTAGGGGCGCAGCCGTCCCACCCCAGACTGTGGACGCTCTCCTGGTCATCTTCACAGTTTAGGAGCAGCCCGCCACACCTGCCCTGGCTCAGGGACATGTGCGGCCGAGGGCAGTGGGAGCCCTGTGGCAGGCTTCGGGCGGCTGGGAGGACAGGAAGGCTCCTGACACTCTGTCATCTCTCCCTCCCCCAGGGCTTCCAGGTAGCCTATGTGGTGTTCCAGAAGCCGGGGGGGGTGTCAGCTGCCTTGGCCTTGAAGGGCCCGCTGCTGGTCTCGACAGAGAGTCACCCTGTGAAGAGCGGTGTTCACAGTCAGTATTGCGGGTGGTGTCGGCTGCCCCCTTTCTGGGCCCTGGGTTGGCGGGTAAGCTTTGTGGGGCAGTCCGCGAATGCCACGAGCCGTGTCTGCTCACCGAGAGCAGCGTGTTGGGGGCTCGAGCCTGGCACTCGGGGTGGGCAGAGGTGAGGGCCCAGCTTGCTGCCGCAGAATCTTCCTCACCTCCTGCACCCTGGGCCAAGGCCTCCAGCCCTGAGGCCTGAGTGAGAAGATCGGGACTGGCCCGGCAGGCGCTGGGGTGCGGAAGCCCCATTTCCCTCCCTCCCTTCTCTCTCAGAGTGGATCAGCGACTACAGGGACTCCGTGCTGGACCCTGAGGCCCTGAGGGCGGAAGTGGACACGTTCATGGAGGCCTATGACAAGAAGGTGGCTGAGGTAGGGCTTTCGCAGGTGCAGCCGAGCATCACCTGCGCAGCCTTAGGAAAGGTGTGCAGCTCCCGAGGGGGAGGGATGGTGGCAGCCTGTCCTAGTAACCATGTGGAGTCCAGGCTCCCTTTTTCCCTGCTCAGTCCTGGGCCACCTGACTGGGGGACGTGTAGTCTCTAAACGGTCTGTAGGGAATGAACGGTCCGAGAGTGGCAGAGGAGGCAGCATTGACACGTCTGCATGTTCCCCTGACACACAGCCACCAACACTGCTCCCCAGCAGAGGGAGCAGCAGGCGCCCGTGCATGCCCACGGTGGTTCTGGGTGGGGGAGGGGAGGGCGGGCGATGGGCTCCTGAGGCTGCAGGGCGGGTCCCAGGCAGCTGCCCATCACAGGGTTGTGTTCCTTGCAGGAGGAGGCTAAGGCCCAGGAGGAGGAAGGGGTCCCTGATGAGGAGGGCTGGGTCAAGGTGACCCGCCGCGGCCGGCGGCCTGTGCTCCCCCGGACGGAGGCAGCCAGCCTGCGGGTGCTGGAGCGGGAGAGACGGAAGCGCGCCCGCAAGGAGCTGCTCAACTTCTACGCCTGGCAGCACCGCGAGACCAAGATGGAGCGTAAGAGAGCGCCCCGGCCCCTCCTCTGGCCCCAGAGCCCTTGGCACCCGGGCCGCGGGTGAGGCCTGTGGCCAGAGCGCAGAGCCTTAGAGGGCAGGCCCTGGGCCTGGGGACCTGGACCACAGCCCTGTGGTGGTCCCCCTGTGGCTCCCCAGCGGCAGCTGTGGCGGCCCCTGGGTCATTTAGAGGCTACAGAGGCACTGGGATGTAGGACCCGCCTCCGGAGCCCTGAGCAGTTGGTGCTGGAACCTGTCAGCTTCTAGCAAGGAGCCACCTGGCAGAGGGTGGATCTCAGGTGCTCGCTGTGGGTGCAGAGCGGGCTGCTGCTGGCTGTGTGAGTGTGAATGTGTGAGAGAGACGGTGTGAGTGTGTGTGTGGAGTGCGCAGCGGGGAGCACCCCACCACCCGTGGCCTGCTGTTGGCGGTGAGGGTGCTGAGCCTACTGCCCTGGCCGTCTTGTCTCCTCACGTGCGGGATGGTTTCCCCATGGGCCCAGAGAGGGTCCTGGCCCCAGCCTTGGCGCAGGGATGGGCCTGAGCACCCCTAGTTGCACAGCTCTCTCGCCTCCCTCACTGCCCCTTCCTCCGGCACCTTCGCTCCTGCTCCTGTCCTCTCCTCCGCGTTCACCTGACGGCAGGCATCCCTCAGCCTTCCCTCCCTTGGGCTCCAGAGCCCACATACCCCTTGGACCTGGCTGTTCGGTGACCAGAGCCTCCATCTGAGTCCTCGGCCCCTTGGGTTGGGGCCCTGTTACCTCCTGACGGCCTCCCCTGTCTGATTGCTGCCGTGGGGAGGGCTGCAGAGGTGGCCCGGCGTCTCCGGAGCCCCCGCGCCGCCTCCCTCACCTTTGGGGTGGGGGTGGGGAGGTAAGGGAGCAGGTCCCTGTTGGCCTTCTCTGTGCTTTTTTACTGGTGAGTTTCCTATCTGAGAACTCGGGCCTGCCGTCTTCTCCACGCAGCCTGTGCCCTCTCACCGGGCCTGCAGTCCACTCCACTTCCCTGCCACACCAAACCGTTTTCCGAGGCAGAGGCGAGGAGGGCGGCAGTGCTGAGCTCCCTCAGCTGGTAGGGGGCGCTGAGGGGAGGGCCAGGCGAGCTCTCTAGTCTGGTTGGTGGGGCGCAGCTCCTTGCTGATCCCGGCCCTGTTTTCCCTCGCTCCCCAGATCTCGCACAGCTGCGCAAGAAGTTTGAGGAGGACAAGCAGAGGATTGAACTGATGCGGGCCCAGCGCAAATTCCGCCCCTACTGAGCTGTGCTGGCCCTCAGGCCCGTGGGGGTAGTGAACGGGCAGCGGTGCATGGCCAGAGAGGGCCTGGAATGCTGGTCTCAGAGGCTGTGCCCAGGCCCAGGGGCCACCGCGTCAAGCCGCCCAAAGATCTGAGGCACACGAGGTGGGGTGAAGGACCATGTCGCCCTCCGTTCTGGTGCTTCAGCAGTCCTGGGGCCCAGTGCTGGGGGGGCCTGCCCAGCATGAGGACTTGGCCTTCAGGAAGCCACTGGCCCAGGAGTGGCTCCTTCCCTCTCCTCGTCTGTTCTCAGCCTGTCTCTGGACTCACCTCTCCGGGCTGAGCATCTGCTCTTTCCCCCCCTTCCCCTCGGCGGAGAATCCCCCACTGCAGTGAAACAGCCTCCAGAGCAGTGATAATACAGGAATAATTTCTCTTTCATCCTGTCTGGCAGCGGGAAAAGCTACAGAAGCTGCTGGGCTGCGGGCCCCTCCTTCCTCCAGCTGCTCCCAGCTTCCTGCAGATTATCAGCCCCAAAACGGACAAGCCCCCAAATCCAGGCATAGTCTCCCCCTTGAAGTCACAAATGTTAGAGTCAACATCTTGCCCCCACCCCTCCACTCTGCCAGCCCGTGCTGGTCTTCATGACCAGTGAGGCCTGGCCCCACCACACCTGGCCTGGCTGGGGGGGCTTGGAAGCTGGAAGTCTGAGTGGAGGGTGGTGAGCAGTGGGTGGGTGGTCTCTGTAGCCCTAGGCACAGGGCTACAGCTGGGCTGGGACCCTGTCCTTGCTCTGTAAGAAGGCGCTGATGACACCGGCCACGTGTTGGGGTTGGTTCATGTGGACGTAGTGGTTGCCCGGGACTTCCACGAACTGGAACCGCTGGGGAAGGGAGGGCATGCGTGGTGGTGTGAGGCCCAGGGGAGGTAGCTCTGCAGGCCCCTCTGGTGGGGCTTTCCCACAGCCTGCTGCCTCCCACCGGTTCAGAAGTGTTCCCAACCGTGAGCCTTGGGGCAGTGACTGATGCACAGCTCTGTGGGCCCCAGTCCCTCCACAGCCCCCTGTGGGCAGGTCGCCCTGGCTCTGAGCCAGTGGGAAAGGCCTGATCGGGAAGGAAGGGTCCCAACCCTGGGCTTCTGAGCCGTTCCGAGCTGAGAGGTTGTAGAGCTGGGCTGGGGAGGGGGCCGTAGGCAGGGGTGCCACTGGTTCTGATAATTGTATAAGGCCAACTTGAAAAAAGATGGAGCAGCCTTTCCTACTTGCTCCTGCCTGGAAGAAAGCAGCAGGACCAGAAGGCACCGCCTGTTGGCCAGCCAGCCACGTGTGGACTTTCCTTCCCAGGGGACACTGTATTGTCCGCCGAGGCCTCAGGCTCAGGTGTTAGTGGCGGATGATGTTAAGATGCCAGGTGCTCCCAGGGACCTTGGCAAGGTCCAAAGTCACAGCACAAGTGTCAGCCCTCCCCCGTGGAGGCTTACCCCTAGCTGCAGCCAGCACCCACGGAAGGGACTGGTCATCAGCTCCCGTTTGGGACCCCAGAAAGGCATGGGACCACCTCTCCCCAAGTTGGGCTTGGCCCGGGGCATATGTGAGGACAGTAAACCCGAGAGTCAGCCAATGAGGAGTGCGGTTTCTCTGCTGACTACACGTGACCCCAGGCCTCTGGGGAGTGAGGCCTGGTAGCACCTGGTCACCTGTTAGAGCTGGGGCCAGGCCAGACCAGGAGTCCCAGTCCAAGCAAAAGAGAGGGTGAGAGGGAGCCCAGAGCGGCCTGCGGCCCTGTCCTGGCCCCCTGTCCCCTGAGCCCCGCACACCTACCTCTTTTAGGACAGATTTCAGCATGGCAAGTACGAAGCGCAGGTGTTCCCTGTCAGCATTCTCTCTTCTCACGTTGTAATATCCGTGGCTTGCTCTGGAAAAGAAGGCAGGGTTCAACTGGGGGCTGCCTCCATGCACTGCCATCTCGCCAGCCTGGGTCCCCTCCCATTTCCCCACAGCTGAGCCCTGAGCCCAGGTTTAATTCAAGGTGGAGGCCTTCAGTGTCTGCTGGCACTCAGGGCTCCCCAGGCCAGGCACGAGCGCAGTGTCTCAGGTGTATCTCACCCTGCTCGGGTCATAGGGCCTGCCTGCAGTCACAGCCACTGAATGGCAGAGCCAGGATCTGGACGGGCTCTGGAGCCCATGTTTTCTCTTTATCTTTTAAAAGAGCTTTATTGAGATAATTTCACCCATTGAAGGTGTAGGATTCTATGGTTTTTAGGATATTCAGGGTTGTGTCATCACCAGAGTCAATTTTAGAACATTTTCATCACCTCAAAGGAAAAATCCTGAGCGTGTAGTTTTCACCAACACACGTGCACACAACTCCCCATCTCACAACCACTGAGCAACTTTCTGGCCATAGAGCCCCTATCTGGACTCGCACAGGGATGGAATCCTAGAATCCGTGGACTTTTGGGACTGACTGGTTTCACTGAGCAGAATGTTCTCAGGCTTCATCCACGTTGTCACATGTCAGCACTCCATCACTTCTTATGGCTAATAGTCCATTGTATGGACAGACCATATTTTGCATATCTGTTGAGGGACACCTGGGTTGTCTCCACCTTTGGGCTGTCATGAATAATGCCGCCATGAATGATCGTGTCCAGCTTCTATGCAGACATATGTTACCCTTTCTGTTGCATATATACCTAGGAGTGGAATTAAATTGCTGGGTTATATGGTGAATTAGCTTGAGAAACCGCCAGACCGTTTTCCAAAGTGGCTGTAGCATTTTGCGATCCCACGGCAGTGTGTGAGGGTTCTGGTTTCTCCACATCCTCGCAAACACTTGTTCCCTCACTTGTAGAGGCTAGCTGTCCCAGCGGATGTGCAGTGGATCTCACTGTGGTCTGGATTTGTTTGTCTTGAGTCCATGCTTTCTAAAGCCCTGTGCTCGGCACCAGAGACAGATGTGTCCCTGGAAGTCACAGTCCTGCCTCAGTCCAAGATGGCTGCAGTGGAGTGGGGAGTGGCATCTGAACCACACTAAAGGATGTTTGGCTGTGGGAGCCCGAGGCTATGGGATTGCTTGCGGCTGGGTGCTGGGGGTGGGGACTGGGAGGAAGGCAGCTGGAGGAGCAGCGTAGGCCTGGGGATGGGAGGCGTCCGGGCGGCTGGGGGACTGGGTAGGGCAAGGGCCAGATGGTAATGTCTGCCCGTCTCTGCCTTACCTGGGCTTTTCCCCAGACACTGTCGAAAGGTGCAGTGTAGTCCTTGCCCCACCCACTGCTGCCCAAGCTCTGCCTGCCTTCCACACACCCGTCGCCGGGGGCTTTCCCGGGAAAGATGGCAGTGTGGTCTCACACCGGGAGAACTGGGGACCTCGTGCCAGGGAGACCTGGAGATTCCTGGCTCTCAGGCCTGGGCTTGGCGCTCGGTCAGACTCACTTGACGAGCAGGACGCGGGCCTGCAGCTTCTTGATGGAGTGCACAAACAGCTCCTTGCTGATGTAATCCGAGCTGTGCTCTGGCTGCAGAGACAAAACCATCGTGAGTTCTCACCCCCAGGCACTCCTGTGGGTGCGAAGCCTGCCTCTCTTGGGGTCAGCGGGTACCGGGAGGGGCCGTGTCGGCCATCACCTCAGGACTGAGCCCGGTGCCCGACCACATCACCTCCTTAACAAAGGGCTTATTACCTCCCATGGGCCCTGGGTCTTTTACCCCTGAATCTGTTCGCTATCTTCCTGGGCTCATGGCAGCCCAGCCAGATGGCATTCCCCAGACTCCCTTACAGCCAGGTATGGCCATGCCACTGAATGCAGAGAGGTGACCTGGGCTACTTCTGGGCCTAGACTTTAGGTCTGAGGTATGGCCTCTCTTAAGAAAGCCCTCTTTATCAATATTGCCATTGATTCGCGATGTGTGTGTGTTGTTCTATGTAAAATATATTTGTCTGCCTCAAGGTCTTAAAGCTATTCCCTATGTTTTCTTCTGGAATCCTTGCTGCTTTACATTTCCTCTTCTGACCTGTGATCCATCTTGAGTTAACTTTGGTGTCTACTGTGAGCCAGGGATCTGGGCTCTAAGTGAAATAAGCCAGTCACAAAAGGCCACATGTCACAGGATTCCACCTACATGAGGTCCCTCCGGGAGTCAGATTCACAGAAGGGAGACAGACGGTGGTCACCTGGGGCTGGGGGAGGAGGAATGGGGAGCTTGTGTCTAACGGGATGGAGTTTACTGGCAATAATGAGAGATTTGGGGGGCTGCACATCACGGATGCACTAAATGTCACTCAACTGCACACTTACAAATGGCTTAAAAATGACAAATGTTATGCTATGTCTATCTTACCGTGATGAAAAAAGAACAAGAAAGAGGCAGGCAGGCAGACCAGGATGGGACGGGAGCCCAGCAGCACTCACCCAGGACATCCTGCGGTCCCTGTTCAGCACCAGCCCTGGAGAGAAGCACAAAGATGCTGGCTTCAGCGCCACCCATCAGGTGAGGGGACTCAACTCCATTCCCCTGGGGACCCTGGGCCCTTCCAGCCAGGGCTCATGTCATCAGCCTAGACTGATGGGGACCGCCCCCGACATCCTCTTGGGGCTCAGCTGGAGTGGAGCTTGCCCACAGCCACCTGGCCAGACCTCCCTGGCCACCCTCGCGGGCGGGGCAGAAGGATGATGCTGGTAACAGTTATGCTACCTGGCACCCATCGTTCTCATCTCTGAGATCCTTAAAACGTAATTCGGATCTTTTTTTTTTTTTTTAGGAAGATTAGCCCTGAGCTAACATCTGCTGCCAATCCTCCTCTTTTTGTTGAGGAAGACTGGCCCTGAGCTAACATCCGTGCCCATCTTCCTCTACTTTATATGTGGGACGCCTACCACGGCATGGTGTGCCAAGTGGTGCCACGTCCACACCCAGGATCCACACCGGTGAACCCCGGGCCGCCGAAGCGGAACGTGTGCACTTAACCGTTGTGCCACCGGGCTGGCCCCTCATTCGGATCTTTAAACACCAGGAAGCACCCAGTAGCTAAGAACTGGGTTGTCACTTGTGGAAGAGAAATGGAGCGACAAAGAAAGGCTGGAGGGGTCGAGAAGAGCGGGTGGTCCCAGCTCCAGGCTGAGCCTCAGTTCTCTGCCGCAATGCCAATGGTGGACAACTCGGCCTCACCTGGGAAGGACGGACACCCACCAGTTCCATGCCTGGGCCCTGATCTTGAGAAATGGCTGCAGGGGTGCCAGGGAGAGTACAGATCGCAGACCCTGGAGGCAGCCTGATGTCAGCAGGGGACGGACAAGTGAGCTGGGGGGTGGTTGTTTGGGAGCCTCTCCAATGGGGAGCTGGTGGAAGGGAGCCGAAGCGTCAACATGGGTAGATCCCACAAATATGCCACCTAAGAAGTCAGCCTGCTCCCTCCTTCCTAGAGTCTTTGCTCAAAATCCACCCTCCCAGCCAGGCCCCGCAACCTCCCATTTAAAATCACAGTATCTCGGGGCTGGCCCTGTTGCCGAGTGGTTAAGTTCGCGCGCTCCGCTGCAGGCGGCCCAGTGTTTTGTTGGTTCGAATCCTGGGTGCGGACATGGCACTGCTCATCAAAAAACCACACTGAGGCAGCGTCCCACATGCCACAACTAGAAGGACCCACAACAAAGAATATACAACTATGTACCGGGGAGCTTTGGGGAGAAAAAGGAAAAAATAAAATCTTTAAAATCACAGCATCTCCAGGAGCCTCTCCAGCCCCTGATGTATTTCTCCCCAGAACACCCAGCGCTTTCTCACGCGCTCTACCATTCAAGATGGAATGGGGCTGTCAGAGGCTCCAGGGCCCGAGGGAAAGGACTTGGGAGGAGTCTGGAACACGATTTCCCCAATGTCACCCACAACCGCGGAGGCACCTGGTGGGGTGCGGGAGCCTGCTGTGTCTTCTTTTAGGTTAACCCCAGGCCCCAAAGGGCCACAATGGCTGCAGAGGGGCTAGTCCTGACACAGTGATCCAGTCACCTGCCCACGCCTGCAGCACCTCCTTCCTGCTCTCCTCTCCCTGCTCCCTCCACTTCCCTGCACAATGGTTCAGTGTCTGTGCTCCCCATTTCATGTGACCCCGGGCGGGCCTAATCGGCTTCCCCAGCCTTGCCAGGAGCACGTCTCATTCTGGATTAGCCCACTTCTGCACCTGGGGCCTCCCTGGCCCGGCTATCTGTGTGGGGCATGAGAGGGCAACCTGGGCCCACAGCCCTCATGGCCTTCTGCCCTCGACCTCTCTATGATGGATTTGCGGAGGGTGGGCGGGGGGGCAGACAAAGGTTCAGAGATGATAACTAAGACAATCCTCCAAAGGGTCACAAACTGGCAGCAAGAGGCCAAAACAGCTCCTAGGTATAGTCCGTCTGACCTCAGAGTATGCTGTCAATTTCTGGAAAATCAATACAACACAGCAGACCTCTGGCTTCTCTTAAGCAACTGGAAATTCTGGCCATACTAGACTCGGGTTTCCACACGACAACCACCGCCTGGGTTGCCTGGCTGGGCATGCTGGCTCCAGTTCCAGCGTCCCCACTGCTCCCTATTACTCACTCCCAGCAGCTGGATTACTTCCACGACTTGTCCAACTCCCACAGGCACTGGTGCTTTTGACCTCTGCCTCATTGGTGCTTCATAAACTGAAGCCACATTCACTACCTTGCTCGATGCTGTAAGCCTATGAGGACAAAAATCCCAAGACTGTCACCTGAGAGAGCCAGAGGGTCCAAAAGGGGAGGAGCTTGTCCAAGATGGCTGAGCCAGCAGAGGCAACGCAGCGCAGGTTGCATCCGCCCTGCACTGTCTCCCAGGCTCCTCCTGGGAGCTGCTTCCCGGACCCGTCCAGAGCAGGCCTGCCCACGGCTCTCTCCCAGGGCTCCCTGTACATCTCCTTTCCTACACTTGGAATGAAACGACTATTGGCTTGTCTGTCTACTAGTCTATCATTTGTTTCTCCTCTTAGAATGGACGTTCCCCACCCTGCCTCCTCCTTGCTCAGCTCCTAGGGAGTCATTTCCAGTGAGGGCACTTGTGAACGGCGTCTGGAACTTAGGCCACCAGGAGAGGGCCGGGGTCTGCTGCTGCTCACCGCAGCTCCACAGCCTGGCTTGGGCTGGCACAGAGCAGACCTTCAGGAAAGGTCTCCTGAACAAATGAGGAGAAGCAACTGCCGGCCCAAGGCTGCCCCGGAGCCGAGGTACCACCCACTGCACTCCTCTGTTTAAAGACTCTTCAGAGTCACTCGGCCCTGAGGACGATAATGCCTCTCCCTGGCACCTGGTACGCACCCCACAGGACCAGCAGAGCACGGCTGGGACATTCCCCAACATTTAGTCCCAAGAGCCCTGACCAAGCTCCCCACAGGACGTGGCCTTCTGGGATGTGCGGTCGCCATCGAACCCGGCACGAGTCGCTTGGCCTCTCTGAGCCTCAGTTTCTCCTGCTCTAAAGGCATGAGTAGAGGGCAGTAGGAGGACTAAAGGAGATACCGTTCGCAGCGCTCTTAGGATTTGCCTGGTCCAGAGCGAGCAGCGATGCAGCAACGTCATTATCATTTCTCAATAACCGTGTTGTTAAGCCACGGCGTTAGATGCCGCGTCTCTTACCTCCAGCCACGGGGGTGGTTCCCCTCTGCAGGAGGAGCTCCCCAGACTCCTCACTCACATGACTGTTGTTCTGCAGGAACCTGGGAGAGACAGAAGGACGCCGATTGCCTGGGGCAGGGCGGACGGCTGCCGGGAAGGAGAGGAGGGCAGGAGAGCGAGGCCACTCCTCAAAGGATGCAGGCATCCGTCAATGGGATGTTCACATCAGGGGCGTGAGTGTGAGTGTGTGTGTGAGTGCCAGCCAGCTGAACCCCGAAGGAGGAGTGGGGAAGTTAGCAAGGCACCAGCGAGAAGGCCAGGTAGAAGGAGCCACAGAAGGAAGAAACGGTGTGGAAAAAGACAGTGCACGCGTGCGTGTGTGCATGTGTGCGCGTGTGCATGTGTGTGCGTGAGTGTGCATTTGTGCACGTGTGTGTGTGCGTTTGTGTATGAGTGTGTGTGCATGCACTTGAGTGGGGAGGATTTGGGGGCAGAGAGCATGTGGAGAGGGGACGCCTGAGTGAAGGGCATGGCTATGGAAGGGAGAGAGTGGAAGGCAGGCGAGTCCCAGACGGGCCATGAGAGGAGGGCCAGGAAGCCTGCTGTCGGGGTGAGCGTGGCAAGAAACAGGCTTGGCGTGGATTTGTGGGTAGGAGAGAGAAGCTTCCTCGAGGCCCCAGCGATGTCCTCCCTCGGTGACCCTCAGTTCCCCCCGGGCTCTCGGCAGGCACCCACCTCTGCAGCATCTCCTCCCAGCTGACCACACTCGAGGGCTTCTTGGAGGCCTCCACTAGCAGCGTGTGCTCGATGGCTCTCCGCTTGTAGGTCAGTAAGTTCTCCATTTCCTAAGGATTCGTGGGTTCTGCTGGGGGGGCAGGGCTCCCAGCTGCAGACAAAGGGGCCCAGCCCCCAGCCCGCCCTCAGCAGGCCCTCAGCCGCGCACCCTCTGCACCCTCTTAGCCCGTGATTCATTCTGGCCCAGTGAAGGGTTGCAGGTTAGCTAGCCCTGTGAGCCGGAGCCAGTCGTCTGCCTCAGTCACCGCCCGCCCAGCCCTGCCCATGGCCGGGGACAGCTGGAGGGATCAGACAGGATGATGGAGGAGAAAGGAAACCTCTGTCAACTGCCAAGTGTCTGCAAAGGTGCCATATTAGGGTCCACAGGTCATGAACCACCCAGGGTCAGGGTTCAACCATGACAGCGTTAACTAACGCTATCACCCCAAAGGGAGGAGGGGAGACTGGCAGAGGGGTGCAGCTCGGGGACCTCCAGTGCCCCCTCAAGTACCCATTGCCAGCCCAGCTCACTCAGAATGGCCTGGAGTAGCAGGCGGAAGTCACAGTCCCATCCGTGGCCCCTGAGAAGGCAGGACAGGGAGGACGAAACACTCCCCAGCTGCCGCAGGAGGAAGACCCCGGGGCACTGTGTTCGTCCGTCAGAAGGGCAAACAGATGAAGAAGTGAGAAGGCAGCCACGGCCGTCTGCTGCGTCCTCTCGCCAACCCGCAAGCTCCATTCACGCAACTAACATTCGTGCAGCACTTACTACGGGCCGGGCCTGGGCGTGTGCTGGCGAAAAGACAGCCATGCTTCTGGCCCTTGTGGACTTTGTGGTCATTTTAGGGACGAGAAAATGGAAAGTGATGAAGGAGCTATGTCACAACTGAAAGGCTGAGCCCTTGGGAATAGAATGACAGAATGTCAGAGCTGGCAGGGCACCTCCAACGTCGTCTTCTCCAACCTGCTCATTTTACAGGTGAAGAAACTGAGGCCCAGAGAGGCAAACTGACTTGCCCAGAGTCACACAGCAGATAAACGGCAGAGCCAGGGCTCAGATGTAGGGAGAACACTGGCTGTTGTCATGGGTGGTTGAGGTGAGAGGAGTCAGCACGTCTCCCAGCCATCCACAGTCCAGGCTGCAGTGTGCGGTTGTACAGTGCGTGCACAGCACAAAGGCATTTGACTGAGCACAAGTGCAGGTGGGCTCGCCAAACTGTATGCCCCTAGAACTTCCTCAACCCACTACTCCTACCCTCTCCTACCCCCTGCCACTTTGTGATCAACCTGGCATTCTGCAGATCCCAGGCCACACAGAGGGTTTCCAAGGATAACAAAAGCCCCTGCAACCCTTTCTCTGCCCACTCCTGGGGTACCAGCAGCATAACCCATCCCCTGGGAGGGGCCCTGTGACTCCCCCTGGTCTACCCTCTGCCACCTTCTCCCGCCTCCCTGGTACCCACCAAAGGAGACAGGGCCAAGGGCAATGGCTGGGCCTGGGTCTCCCCCAGTGACAGTGGACATGGAAGAGCCCGTTCTTACGTTGGAGTCCACGGCAAATGGGGCCGCCTCCAGCAAGATAAGTTTATCCACCATCTCGGGGAAGACACAGGAAAACTATGATGCGACACACAAAGAGAAGAATAAATAGGAGAGGAAGATGGGAAAGGGGCTCAAACTTTTCCCTGGGGATACTAGTGCTTCCCGAAACATCTCTCGGGTTGGGGGAAGGGTGCTGACCAAGAGGCCAGAACAAGAATCTTGTCCCTTGGGATCACCTTCCTCTTTCCTCCTCCCACAGTCTGCGCCCAGCATCGAGCTCCAGACCCCGGGGATGGCTGCACTCCAGGGTGCTCTGTGACGGGGCGGCGTGGGGGGCGGTGGGGAACGTCTAAACGCAGCTCCATCAGGCAGGAAGCTCCACTGTTCCCCGGCAGTCACAATTCCCGCGGTAACGATTATTACTGCCATCCACAGAGCAAACTGGCTCTGGCTGACAGAACGCCAAGATTCACCTCTCTTCCCAGCTGACTGCCCCTTCGTCCTCCTGCCCTTCCCATCCCACCTGCAGGAGAGCCCAGGGTGGCCAGAGGGGGTCGCTGCAAAGCCATCTACTCACCATTCCGCCCACAAGGCCACCTGGGGAACAAAAGAGGAGGCCAGCTGACATTTCCCGGCTCTCAAAATCCTACCACACCCTCCTCCCAGGAGCTGGCCCACCTTCACATAGGGGGCTGGCTCCTCTCCCCCACCAGTGGCTGGAGCTCTGTATGTGCTGTCAAACTTGGGGCTCCCTCCCTGGGGCCATATAGCCCCTTCATCACACCTGGCCACTCCAAAGGCCACATTTTCCTCATCAAATTGAGAGACACACCACCTGCGGGGCCCTGTGTCTCTCAAGGGAGTTGCTTGAGGCCAAAGGGCCCAGTGCCCAATGTCTAACAGACACCTCATCTTTCCTTGCAATTCCCAGAGGCACAGGGGACGTGTACCTGTGTAGCAACTCCGCTCCCTCCCTCGCATCCCTCCCTTGCAGCCCCACCACTGGGCACTCTCAGTCCTGGCCAAGATGTACTCACCAAAACTGTGGCCCATGAGGGAAAACCGATCCCACTTCAAGGCTGAAAACACACAGAGCCAGGTCTGGATGGGCTAGCCCGCCCCTGCCCCCCTGCCACGCCCCGTCCTGCAGTTCTTGTGCTCGGGAAATGCCTCCCCAGCATCTGGGGTGCCCCACTCAGGACACCAGCTTAGAGGGGTCCCAGCTCCACTGCAGGGGTGGAACCCACAGAAGGAAGCAAGCTCTTCTTGGCAGCCCTCCTCAGCTTTCCCAAAGTCACCCATGCACTCCTGGAAGAACTGGGGCCAGACCCCAGGGCACTCCCACGCCAGTGCCGCTTCCTGGCTAACACCCCACTCCAACGATGAGAGGGGATGTCCCAGGGCAGCGGCCCCCACTCCCCGCCCCGGCCCCAACACACACACACACACACACACACACACACTCTGCCTCTTACTCACCTGCCGCGACTCTTCGAACCTCACTCACGAAGTTTTGCTGGTAATACGGGAGACCTGGGCCGTAATGCGACGAGAGCCCATGACCTCCGAAATCCACAGCAACGTAATGGAAGTCTGAGACAGAGATAAAGGGGAAGAAGGCATCTACATCAGCCTTCCCCCCGCCTCATCCTCCTCAGGGCTCCCACCTGGCCCCTCGGCTTCCTTTTAGCCCCAGCCTCACCTTTTGGGAGAAGAGGGATGAGCCGGTCGAAGGAGTTGGCATTGTCCAGCCAGCCGTGTAGGCAGAGAACCGGGGGGCCCTGCTGGGAGCCCCAGGCTTTGGCAGCGATGTGGCCCCAGGGCACGTCCAGCTTCAGCTTTGAGAATAGACCTGACAGAGACACCCCCTCACTCAGGAAGCTGGCACTTCCTGAGCCCCGCATCTATGACCCAATGGGTCCAGGGCATCAGTGCTACCCAGGGGGCTCAGACTCCCATGCTGCCCCCAGGGCATTATGGGGAGAGAGCCAGACACGAGTGTGGGGATCCCCAGCGGAGGGAAAGATAAACTGGGTCATCTGGGTGAGGAAAACCTTGGGAGGGCTTCATGGCAGAACTTTCCAGAATAGGCTGGGAGGTTGGCTAGGCCTGGGCCCTGCGACTTGCTGGCTCTGTGATGTTGGGCAACTTACTAAAACCTCCTGAGCCTCAGTTTCCTTTTCTGCAAAACAGGAGTAAAGAGTAATGGCAATAGCCAACATTTTCTAAGCCTTAACTGAGGGCCAGATGGGGTGGCTGGTCTCCCACATCCTCACAGTCACCTGGGTCACTACCATCACCCTCCCTTCGCAGACCAGGAAGCTGAGGCACAGGGAGGTGCAGTCCATGCCCCAGGTCACACAGGCACAAATTTGCTGGCCTCCCACGCCGCCCCTCTAACTTGGGGCTCCTGGAACCCGTATGGCCGTGTCCTGGGCCGGTGAAGGAGCTGCCACAGGCAGGAGGGCGGCGTGGTCGGCGAGCCCTCCCCTCCACTGCCCCTCAGCGGTCCCAGGTAGCTGGATGCGAGAAGGAAGCGCGCGCCGCCTCCCCGATCCCACTCGGTCGGGCCCGGCGTCCTCACCCATCGCTCGCGTCCCACGGTGCACAGCTGCGGTCTCTCTGCCACCCAGGCCCCGCCCCTCGCTGACCAGCCGGCCCCGCCTCTCTGCCACCCAGGCCCCGCCCCTCGCTGACGAGCCGGCCCCGCCTCTCTGCCACCCAGGCCCCGCTCCTCGCTGACGAGCCGGCCCCGCCTGTCTACCTCTCCCGCTCCTCCGGAAGACCTCCTGGCGGCTCCCTGGCGCCCAAGGGCGGCGCGACCTGGCCCTTGGTTCTGGCCGGGACGGGCCTGCCCTCCCGGACCCTCTGCCTGCGCTGGGAAAGCCGCCCGCGCCACCCCACGGCGGAAGCTGTGAGCAGAGCCCCGGGGGATTCCCAGGGCGGTGACCAGACCACCTCCAAAATTCCCGCACCTGGGGCTCTGCTTGACACGTGGCCGGCCCCTGACCCCTGAGAAGTCCCCAAGGCCACCCCACCCCTACCCGGGACCGGCATCTGGCGAAGGCCCAGGGAGCAGCCACAGCAAGCGGGGTAGCCCCTGGGTCCTCGCTGGCCCTCACTGTGGAGCTGAAGGGGGGGTGACTTTCTTTAATGGTTTCATGTCCGCGTGGAAGGCCGGGCTGCGTCCACCATGTTCGCCTAGAGTTCCTGGCAGGAACCAGCCTTAGTATTTGTTGTGCAGGTGAACAAATGAATGTAGACACTGGGGACGTGGAGGAACTCCCCAGGTGAGGAAGGATGACAGACAACGACATGCTGCCTGCAAAGGATCAAGAACTCCAGGTCATGAACTCCACATTGTCTTTGATCTGCCCTTCTATAGAGGGGAATTTGCAGTTTCCTGTGTTTTGCTTTACAACAATACTGTAATGTGCAGCATGACGTGGTCAGGGACAGCTGTAGGGTAATCTTACAGATGTCCGAGAGCTGGCGCGGAGGCTGAACACATTGGTAATGTTGCCAGCTGTTTCTCCATCACCGCCCTATCTCCTGAGTTCCACCTGTGCTGGGCAAGCCTGCCTGTTCCCCCGGGCCTTGAGGGATGAGGAAAGCATTCAACTTCTGACTCTGTGTCACTTTGCTAGTTGAGAAATTGTATGACAGGGTGCTTAAAATTAGAATTTCTCTTGTTATATCTGGGCTTAATCTTGTTTATTTCCTTAAGAGCCATTGATATTTTTTAATGTCCTTTCTCCATTTTTTTCTATTATTTCCTGATTTCTTAGGACTCAACTATTAGAGAGATTAGTTCTTTCTCTATGACATGGGTTGTATATTTTTCCCCAAATGCTTGTCATTTGACTTTAGAATTTATTTATTGCCATGCAGAAGTTTTTAACTTTTTATGTAGTCAAATTGGTCACTCTTTTCTTATTTCACTTCTAGATTTTGTAGGGGTGGAAGACATTTCCTCTACCCTCTGGGTGCTTCTGGCTGGGCTGTGAATCGAATTGACATGAGACAGAATAACAGGAGAAAACCAAACAAAGGTGTATAATATGTACACATGGGAGAGACTCAGGAAAACTGAGCAGCTCACCAAAAGGGCAGAGGCTCTCATCTTAAATACCATCTTCAGGGGCTGGCCCCGTGGCCGAGCGGTTAAGTTCGCGCGCTCCGCTGCAGGCGGCCCAGTGTTTCGTTGGTTCGAATCCTGGGCGCGGACATGACACTGCTCATCAAACCACGCTGAGGCAGCATCCCACATGCCACAACTAGAAGGACCCACAACAAAGAATATACAACTATGTACCGGGGGGCTTTGGGGAGAAAAAGGAAAAAATAAAATCTTTAAAAAAAAAAAATACCGTCTTCAGCTAAAGACAAAGGAGGATGTTGGGGGGTTGGTTTGGGGGCTTCAAAAGGGAGGAAGGCAAGTCACATGGAAATGGAGAAGCAAATGTTTGGTAAACAGAACTTTGGTAAGAGTGGGCTTAGCAAGGACCCTCCCAGCCTATGGGATACCCAGAGTTCTCTGTGCTGATGGCCTGTCCTGGGGACAGGCCTTTATTTTAAATCTCTTTTAGGTAGTTAGGGGGAAGGTCAAAGATTTTTTCAGTCTTTTGTTCTTAAAAATAATCAAGGCGAGGAGACATATTTTGGGGTGGCCAAGTCTGATCCCCCACAATTTTGAGTCTTCCCAGAAAGGCCTTTGTCGTTAAGTTTTGGGTTGGCTGGCTATTCAGTAGGAGATTACTGGAACAGCAATGGCACACAAAAGGAGCTTGGCAAATTCTTTGTTAAATGAATGAATGAATGAATAATAATACACAAACCTGGGAACACCAGGGTACCCCACAAATCGTATGTTTCTTTAGTTGCTTGGAGCGCCCGTCAGAGCGCTCAGGGTGTTTGGGGGCCTCCTTTCCTGGTTGATGGCTTATTCTCCCTCAGACAGTATGGGTCATTCTCTGGGCAGGATGTCACCGATATAACTCGTCATCAGTCTCCTTGTGGGTCAGTTAGTTTCACACAGAGGAAACTGTTGCAGAGGTCACTACTCCACACAAATGTCCACCCGGTCATGGGGCCCTGACAAGGTGACCTGCGTCGTGACAGGACAAATGGCAAACAATAGGATCTATTGGAGTCTATGAGGAAGCCATTTGGTGTAAACCTAATTCGGCCTGACTTAGCTTTTCCAGAAGGGCCTGACATGGCCTTTGAGCATGCATTGTGTATGTGCTTTAAACATTTGCTGTGTCCCAAAGAAAGAACGAATGCCCTTAAGATAAAGGTGCAACTTCCCCCACATTGGCATTTCCTTAAGGATAAGCATCTCTCCCTAGGCTCGGAACTGATTGCTGTGCTCACCTGTGACCACCCACCTCGAGACAACAGACCTGCCCCCCTGCTGTGTCCACCAACACAGCAGACCTACTACCTGCTGTGTCCATCAATCGCTGTGCTGACAGAGCAGTCCCGTGACTACTGTAAAAGGGACCTTTCAATCATATGTGAAACATGCCCTTTGAGGGTATACAACCAGTCTGTGCACCCCACTTCTTTGGTGCCCTTCCTTCCTTGGGGAAGGAAGGCCCCAGGCTATATGGTCCTCACATTTGGCTCAGAATAAACTCCCCCCAATTTTCCTTTATAGGTTGGTTATGGATTATTTGCGTTGAGAGTTGGCTTGGCTTCAGAGCACTTTCCCGGCCTTCCAACCCCCACAGACTGGACAAATGCCCTCAGCATGGGCTGGAGTGAGTGGCCGCACACCCCTGAGGCTTCAAGACTGAGCAGATGCTCCTTAGTTTGGGCACAGATGCAGGCACGCTGGTGGGGAGTCAGGCGACACAGCGTGCAGCCAGAGCAAACTGAGACAGTGACGGATGACGGCCCAGCCTGATGTGACCAAGGGGCTGCTGGGCCAGGAGTCCCGACAGCCTGAGGGTGCAGAGGAGGCCTCGAATGCCTGGAGGTGGGGATGGACAGACATGCCGAGTCACTGTGGTGTGTCAGGTTCTGGTGCAAGTGGCTTCAGAGTGAGCGACATACTCCAAGGTGGCTTGGCGGAGTCTCCAGAACTAGTAAGAGCCCTTTGCTGACACCCAGTCCTGGGGCTGGTAACACAGCCATTGGTGCTCCACCACACATAGTCATCAGAGCGCTCCGTGCTCTGCTGTCTGCAGGCCGAGGTGGCTGCCAGCCTGCCCTGTCCTAAGGCACAGTCGTGTAAGCACCCTCTGCCAGGCCAGCTCTGCCCTCCTCCGTTGCCCTACTCCATGTCCTGGGGTAGGGCCAGACCAGTTTGCTTAGATCCCTAAGATGACTGCCATGGGGGAAGAAAATGACTGATCTGTATTTTTTCTCAACAAACAAAACCCTGTTTTTGGAGGGGCTAAATAGCAAGCACTTTCTGAGAATACCTACGGCTTCTCTTTTAATTCTTTTGCCCAGGGACACAGGGTTTTCACTTCATTTCAATTAAACCTTAAAAGTCACAAAACGAGGCTCACCCAAACCAACAGATCTGGACACAATGAAACAAACTCCCGTCCCAAACTCCCTATCCGACAGTGATATTCCGAATGTGCAACCGCCCTGGAGGCCAGGGTCTACCTTAATCCCTGGTTGCTGGGGAGGTCGACAGGGAGCCCCTGGGGAGGAGCACAAGAAGATCTTTACCATCAGGTGTGAGAACATTTCAGTAGTTCAGCAACTGGTACAGCCGCTCTGTCAGCCCGACACCTCCTGTTGCCTCGGGTTAGAAAGGGAAGCCACTTTCTCTCTTGATTCCAGAATGTCTTACTGGAGAGATCTTATGGTTCATCTGTCCCCAAACCTTTGTGTTTTCACATTCATTAAAGAAATGTTTCCTGTGTTGGAGGCTGTGTCCAGCTTCCTGTCTTTTGTTGCTTCAGCCCTAGGAGCTGTGTTGACTTCTTGCAATCACTAACCTTGCAATCTTTCTTTCTTTGTTCTTCCTTCCGTGCCAACCTTGCGCTTATTAAATTCCCTCTGTTGAAATACTTGAGTTTTTCTGTTTACTTAACTAGACGCTGGTTGATACCATTACACACTCTCTAGATCAGCAAAAGTGAAGAAGTCTGATAATCTCAAGTATTGAGTAGGATATGGAGCGATCGAAACTGCCAGTGGAAGGTGTAAATTGAGACACCTTGAAAAACAGTCTGGTGTTACACGGTTTGGTTACAGCGGCAGATGGATCCTCTATGACCCAACAGGTGCACTCTGAGTCTAAAACCCAGAGAAACGTGTACACGTGCCTCAAGGTATATGTACAAGTGGTCATGCTTGTGAAAGCCAAAAGCTGAAATGATCTAAATGCCGTCCACAAAGACAAGAATGAATGAAGTGCGGTGTACAAATGGGATGGCCGACAGCATAGCAATGACAAAAGAGTGAATGACTGCTACACACGTCAACATAGATGAACATTGTTGCAACAACTAACGTTGTTAATTGCAACCATTAACGTTGTTGTAAACAATGTGGAGTGAAAGAAGAGGACACAAAAGAGGGTGACAGGGTGACAGGATGATACACGTTACAAGAAATTCAAAAAGAGGAGAAACTAAAAAGTACATTGTGATTGGCAGAAAAGAGGCCTCCCCAAAATGCCCATGTCCTAATTCCTGGGACATGTGAATGTGTTACTTTACATGGCAAAGAGACTGCAGATTTCATTAAGATAAGGACCTTGAGAGGAGAGGATTAACATGGATTATCTGCTTGGGCTCAAAGTAATCACAAAGGTCTGTAAAAGTCTCTAAAAGGGAGGAAGAGGAGAGGACTCAGAAGGGGAGATGTGACTACAGAAGAAAGGCAGAGAGAGATGAAACATTGCTGGTTTAGAAGATGAAGGAAGGGGCCAAGAACCAAGGAGTATGGGTAGTCTCCAGAAGCTGGAAAGGACAGGAAATGGATTCTTCCATAGAGTCTCCAGCAAGGAACACAGCCCAGTGGACCCACTGGTTTTTAGCTCAGTGAGACCCATGTCAGACTTCTGACTACAGAACTGTGAGACAATAAATTTGTGTTCTTGGGCTGCTCTGGTGGCTCAGCGGTTAAGTGCTCACATTCCGCTTTGGCAGCCTGGGCTTGCTGGTTCAGATCCCGGGTGTGGACATGGCACCGCTTGGCAAGCCATGCTGTGGTAGGCGTCCCACATAGAAAGTAGGGGAAGATGGGCACAGATGTTAGCTCAGGACCAGTCTTCCTCAACAAAAAGAGGGGGTTTGGCAGCAGATGTTAGCTCAGGGCTAACCTTCCAAAAAAAAAAAAAAGTGTTCTTTTTAAGGCACTAAGTTTGTGAAAGCAGGGATAGAAAACTAATATATATATTGTTCTGTTATTTTCTCTCTGTTCTTCAGATTAGATAACTTTTATCGTTTTGTCTGTAGGTTCATTGATTCTTTCTTCTGTCATCTCTAATCTGTTGTTAAATCCTTTGAGTGATTTTAAGTTTCAGATGTTGTACTTTTCAGTTCCAGAATTTCCGTTTGGTTTGTCCTTATAGCTTCTATTCCTGTGCTAAGATTTACTATCTTTTCATTCATTATTAGTATATTTCCTTTTATGTCTTTGAGTTTAGTTATAACAGCTACTTTAAATATCTTTGCTAATTCCAACATCTAAGTTCTTTTGGGGTTAGTTCCCGTTGATTTCTTTTCTTTTGGTCAAATTTTCCTGTTTCTTTGTATGTTGAGTAATTTGAATTGTGTTCTGGTTATTGTGAATGATGTGTTATGTGGAGTGTGGATTCTGTCATGCTCCTGCAAAGAGTATGGATTTGTCTGTTTCAGCAGATGATTAACTTGGATGAGCTCCTTCTGTAATCTTTGTCTCCCTTACAGTGAGAAGCAGCTCAAGTTTCAGTTCAGTTCTTCTAGCCTTAGCTGGGCTGCTTGCAGTCTGCCCCACGCCTACATAGTTTAGCAGTCAGAGATATAGATAGAATATATACACAGATTTTGGGACTCCTCCTCTCTGGCTCTCTTTTTCAAAATTTCTCCCCTTAATAACCAGCTGCTGTGGTTGCCACAATCTCTGTTCTCTAGTTTTTCAAGCCAATAAGACTGGGTTTCTATCCAGGTTTTAGCTGCCCAGATGATGAAGATTAGGGCTTGCTTTTAGGCTAAAGGGCTCCCCCCACCCTCAGTAC